TATCACAGTGACAAATTTATAATATACTACTTGTAACTACCTTATCACAGTGACAGGTTTATAATACACTACTTGTAACTAGTTTAACACAGAGACAAAATTAGAATACATTATTTATAGCAAATATTACCAAACTGGTAGTTTATGTTACCTGTAATTCATTTATCATAGATAGTTTCAAAATACACTACTTATTATTAATTTGACACAGAGACAAAATTGAGTATTACAAAATCAACACAGTGACAAATTTATATATATAATACACTATTTGTAAATGACTTACCAAAGTGACTGGTTTGTGGTACAGTAGGTGTAATAAATTTACTTTAATGACAGGTTTATAAAACACTAGTTGTAACTGACTTACCATAGTGACAGATTTGTGACAAAATATTTGTAACTGACTTATCATAATGAAAGATTTGTGACAGTGTAATTGTCAATGACTTAGTACAATGGTAAGTTTGTGAAGGACTATATGTAGCAGAGTTAGCATAATCTCAGGTTTGTGAAAAATTACATGTAACTTACTCACTACAGTGGCATGATAATGAAAGACTATATCTAATACATTTAACATTGTCACAGTTTTGAGATAAATTATTTATATATTTCAAAGCCTGAGTAAATGTTTAACACAATGCATTTCAATTAATATGTTTGAATTTGAAATAAGTTTTATATCATGCAGGAAAAGCAAGTTCTAAATCTACCTAAAAATGTACATTATCTTCACACACATGAGATTAAATGGAGCCCCATCTTACTTATGAAATGTTTGTATCACATAGTTTGATGGTTTGGTGCTGAATAAAAATATACAACTTTCTATTTAGAAAAGTTGCCCTTTACCTAAATATCAACTGAATTTAAATAATAAATGCAAAACAAAATTACTAAAAAACTGATACATAAAAACTGAACTTGAGTTGGCTAGTATATGTATTTATCAAAATTCATTTGCTTCTGTTGTTATGCTACAAACTTGGCAAAAATACCAAATTTCACACAGTAAAACTCGCACATTTTTTTAACATTAAATAAAATTTAAAATATATGCTTATAAAAATATTATTCCAGAGATCATTAAACTAACCTTTATTACAAAATTAAAGATGTGTGCTCATATTAAAAACATGATAATATTATACAATCAACAAGGATATGGAGGAGAAAATCAATACATTTGAAATATGGGTGTTCAGAAAGACACAGAGAATATCTTACAAAGATGGAGTCACCAATGAAGAGGTACTTGGAAGGATCATAGCTAGAAGAACGTTACTTAATACTTTAAAACAACAAAAGTGTAGATATTATGATCATGTGGTCAGAGAGCAGGCAATACAGAGAACATTATTGGAGAGTAAGACCAACTGAAAGAAACAAAGGGGGAGACCAAGAAGGAATTGAATGAAAGACATATGAATGGGTACAACTGGACAATGTAGGATGTGTCAGAGCGGCACAGGAAAGGAAGACAAGGCACACCATGACAGCAAACTTTCTGTAAGAGGATGCCAATTCTAGACTAGACTAAAATCTTACATAGCTCTAAATACGAAAACTTACTTGACTTAGAACTATCTATATATCCAAAGGTTGGCTCTACATCAATTACAACAGTTAAGTTGGCAAGAGGAGAGTCATGATCTAATACTGAAAACAAATCAGGAGTGAAGAAGACTGATCCACCTTCAGTCACCTAAGAAATATAATAATGCTTAGAACTACAGTATGGCCATAAAACTGGGAAACATTAAATTAACAAAAAATTAATAGAATTATTAACACACAAATAAAACATTAGTTATAATACAACAAAGCAACATGTAATTACAGTGCAAAGTTTGATCCAAAAGAAAAAATAACAATTTAAATATACCACACATATAATTGGTTGTGAATATATACTATCTTATAACAAATGATAGACCATGTTTATTTGATACAGTTATTAAGATATGAGAACTAAGAGGGAGTTGAGATATAAATGTAATACAGAAAAGTGTTTACACACTATGGTATCAACACATAAGTCTTACAGCCCCTTCTTCCATCACTGACAGTCCTAGTTATAGCCTGTAGCCCTGCAATACAATTGTCACTGCAAGAGATTTTTGACCACTACATCAAGGTTAATGTTTTACCCCTCTTCTTTACATGCTTTCCATGTTCCATCAACCTTGTACAAGTAACAGTTTGAGGGTCTATTTTAGCAACACAAAGCACAGAAGTTCATGAATGATGTCTTAAAATTTAGCATGAATTTCCATTGCTGCTTAAATTTTGCAAAGAAATTGGCAGTAGCTGGATACTTTGTCTTACTGGCATCCACTGTATACAAGATGGTATTTCCTTGTTGTATAGTGATGCCAACACATTTTCTTAACAGTATGCAAAATTCACCTAAAGTTTAACTTAACCTGCAGCCACTATAAATCCTTCTGAGAAACTTTTGTGAAAAACTCAATATAATTTTCTAAATATTATATCACCAACAAGTTGATATTAAATTTTCCAGACTTCTGCAGACACTTAGCTGTTTATCTTTCTTCACAACCTCCAATAAATAACTGTTAGCTAATTTTTCCTTGCCATAATCCTACCATCCTATATCCTACCAAAATAGCTCAACACTACAGATATCCTTTTCTTTGAAATATTTCTTGCTTATTCTGATAATTGCAACAAATGAAGATTTTACATAAGAAAATCTTGTAATATAACCCTTCCAAAACAGGGTAAGTTCTTCTATCTGTTCTTGCAAATCACCACACTTCAACTGAATGGCAACAAGGGTCAGGGCTTTTAAACTGTGCAGTTGCAAGGACAGCTAAGAACAAGGTTGTTGCAAAATTGTTATCAAGATATGTGAGAAATCATGTGTTCTCCTAACTTTTACCTATGAATGTAAACTACCTTTAACTATTGCAAAAGTATGAATAAATAATACCTTACCTGAATATCTTCTTTAACCATTACATGGGGTGCCTGATTATTTACAGGCGTTACTGATATAGAAAGTGCTTGGTTTGGTTTCACATTTCCTTTGATACCGGTTACATTGAAATATATCAACTCAGTAGTAGGAGACATGCCAATTTCTGGATTAGCAATAAATCTGAAACATGTGCATTACATTTTTTATCATGAAAAAAAAGGCTTAAATTATGTGATCAGTAAAAACACCTGAGCACATATAATTCATACTGTTTTATACACATACAACTCATTTGGAAATAGAAGATACAACCATTTCATTTTACAGAAGCATTATTTTCAAGATAAGCAGTAAACTTCACCAGAGTTCTTATACAGAATGACTCATTTGATTGACACGTATGTAAAACTCATTTTCAGTTAAGATGAAAAACTTGACTGAAAAATCTCATACTGATTCACTGATTATACTTACCTATATCCTATATATATATATATAT